ACTCGAAGCTTATGGTTTGAGCGGAGCTTGTTAGAATGTGGACTGTCGGACCTTTCTTTTTTGATAAAAACATTACAATGAAAAAAACCCATTCGTATAATCAATGCACCGATTTTGTTAGCTTGGACAGTTCGTTAGTAAGAATGCTTAGTGTCACTTCATCACGAGCGGAATAAACGCCAACAATGTTAAGTCCTTCAGTAAGTTGGACGTTAAAATAAGTCAACATGTTGTCAATGAAGCCTATTTTCGGAATCGGTTGAACAAAACTGAAACTGACATTCAACCTGCAGAGTTCACTTTGAATCCCAAGAGTTCAGTTATATCAAACAGCCAATGGAACGTACAGGTTGCCCCAAAATCGTGCATTCGCAATTTCATAAGCTCTGGAATTTGGTTAAACAAATGAAGGTCACATGTTTGGACAAATAAGAAATTGCGAATGAATAAGTGACGTATATTTACTAATGATTACGTGAACGATGTCCTCTGAAACTACCATAGTAACAACGATTGTGCTGTGCTCACTAGTGTAGTGTGCAGTCAGGCGGCTCATTTCCACAAAAGTACGGCCAGTCTGGAATCTGAGAAAGCGATTCATGTAAAATGTGGCTGTTGGCTGGGTGCAGGTTGTGTGCTTCAAACCCCCTAATCCACGTTGTCCAACAGCGTGAAGCTGTATCATATCGTGTCCGTACCACAATTTCCGATCTCTTCTTCACCTTTGTGGGGGATTCTTAAAATGTACCACGATTTTACGCAGTCGTATCCTTCAGAAAAACTAACCTAATACCTACTTCGTTCAAGACCCTACCCATAGCTTCTGATATGTCTACCGTGAGTGGAATAACAGCAATACGTTTCCATTCCCCTGTTGTATAGGATTCTGGGTTGAGTGCCCTTCTTAACTCTATTCTAAGAATCTGTTTAAAGTAAACTCTCTCTGTGACCATTAACTCTTCCTGTGCTATCTTTTGGTCACCCGCATCGTTGAGTAGATGCTATGCAGTATGAAACTTTGAACTAGCAGTGCAACTTCGTTTGTTCATTTGGCTGTATACCAGGATTTAAAAATTCTCTAATAGTATATGGAGCATTAAAGTAATCCTTTTAACTGCACACAGTTGTCTGTCTCCATGTGAAAAAACAGAATTCCTCGTCTTAGGCATACAACTCTTCAATCTTATATTGGTAGCATAATCCGGGACAAAAGCTGTAAATTAATTGCTGTTGCCAAAAACTAAGTTTTATATTCTGAGCACTGCACAGTGGTTGTGATAACAGAGACCTCAATCTGTTGGCAGAGATCAGTACAAGTTTATATTATTGGCAGTGATGAAGCGTTTATTATTGAGCTGTGATTAACACAGTGGAACACCCACACAAAGCTTGCTTCTCTTATAAATTTCTATCGTTTTTGGGTTCGTTTGATCAATAAGGCTAGAATACAATTGAATTCCTGTTAGGTTACAACTTCGTGTAACTGGTCAATAATTAGTTGACCCCTCCTGAGGTGGATTAATCGGAATTTGTTGCATTCTAAAATTGCAAGAGCATTCCATAGTTTTGCTTGTTTTAGCTCTATTTGTTTTGTCTTTTGATGGTCAGGTGAAATAACCAGAAATGCTTTCTTTTGCTGTCCTGGAGTTAAACCTTCTCTCTCTGTTCCGATGTCATGGATAAAAAAAAGCAGCCCATAGATATAATCACAGTCGTTTCCTTTCGCTGGTAAGTTTGTAGTTCAATCAACGTTTATGGCTGAGATCTGTCACACCTTCTCTGACTGTTCATTTATGGTTACGAGAGTAAAATGAAAAGAGGCGTTCACAGTCTGTGTACTTCACTTCGTTAACGTCCAATTCGCATGTCCCTGGTGCTAATTTATGTACTAACACTTTACCAGTAAGTAGTCTGACAGAGTTGATGATTTAGATGACACCGAATTGTGAAAAGTCAGAGCTTCGACTGGATTCGAACCAGCGACAGAAGCAGCGTGCCTAACGGCGATAGGCGCTGTATCAGCTGAGCTACAAAGCCACGACAGCAGCTTGAAAATTTTCACATTTGTAATGTGTCACCCATTCGTCCCACTGTTTCATATGTTGTTTCTGCCGCTGATCCGAATCCAGCAGAGACGCTGACTTTTATAATTGGGTCTAATCTAAATCATTAAACCTGCCGAACTACTAATTGGTAATACGAATTCTATGCTCCACCATGGTATTGGTGGACAATCGATCC